TAAAATGTGAAGTAACTCTTTCACCACTACTACCAGTTTCCAATCAAAGCCTTCACCAAGTCATGTCTAGGTAAGTGCATCAGCATCTATCCCTCCAGGCTGGCTACAGAGCCAGCCCTCCTGGAGAAGAAGTTTTCTGAAAAGAAATTGAATTCTTGTTACTCACCTACTCAGGAGTGCTCCCTACACAGCATCTGGGCAAACTCCTCTTTCTGACTTCTCTAACCCGGCCCCACCTTGTGTACCTGCTTGTTCGACTCCTCTGGAGAGTTCTGTTTCCTCTGTTGTCCCTCTCCCCCTTCACCTTCTTCCTTAGGACCACATTAAAATTCTGTAGGCCCTGAAAGCCTCCTCCAAACCCTATGTCCTTGCTAAAGCCGCCCTGAACTATTCCAGCTCTCATCAGTCCTCCTCCTCCCTCAGTTCCGGCTGCATCATGTGGTCTGTATGCAGATGACCCTGGTATACCCAACTACACTCCACCACCCAGCACCAGTGAGCATTTATGGAGCATCTGTGACATTCACCCTCCTGGGCAAGCAGGACACATAGGCAATACTGTTTCTCTTGTTATCAAATGAGGGAGTAGAATTGGATGAGATTCTTTTTTAAACCCTCCTCGTTCTACATCCATTCTGTACTGATCCAATTTGGAAATTTAAGCTTAAACTTGACTAAAGATTTCCAATTGAGGAAACTTTCCTTGGGAAGTAAACTTTCTAGGAGAAAATCTGGTCACCAAGGCAGGTTCCCAGGCTTATAATTGCATGTGACTACATACTTCCCTGAAATGAAGTGCCCCCTACTTCAGATAGGCTTTGGGGCATCTATGATTTGGTCTGAGGCTGACACTAGGAGACGGCTCCAAATCCTCAAAGTTAGCTTATTGAGAGCATCAGATTGCGATTACTTCCCCCACCACCATAAAAAAGAAAATCTTTCAAATTGAAGAGGCAAAGCTTGATCCCTTCCTTGTTGAGAGCTGAGAACAATAGCAGCTTTCTGCTCTAACACAACTTCAAAAGGCTGCCGGGAGACTGCTCTGAGAATACTTGGTTGTAGATGACTGAAGAAGCGACGAGCGTCCTCCCGCGAGTCAGCGCCCCATTAGCACCAGGACAATTCTGCTCTCACCCCTCCCAGCATCTTTAATAACTCAGCGACTGGTACTGTATTAACTGGGCGGATGTGAACAACTGCAAGGCCGAGGCTCCAACAGGGAGAGGTGAGATCTGGCCGGTTAAGCAACACCGTGCTGTAAAAGGCCGATGAATTAAGAATTGTTGAAATGACCTAAATAATACATAGGTTGTAAAAGAATCAACTGGAGAGGCGTGAATGGTTGGATCTATGCCAGAGTCCTGCTTCCCCGGCTGCTTCAAGAAAATGCCCGAGGCGAGACAGCAGACTTGGGCTCGAAGTAGCAACCCCAGGAGTTGATCCCGGAGAGATCCCAGGGCGCTCAGAGCGGGTCGGCCCCTGCACCCGCGCCGCCTCGGGTTCACCTACCCGCCTCTTCTCGCAGGTTCACTCAGTCGGCGCTCGCCGCCCGCCTGCGAAGAAACTGCGAAGCAAACTTCCCAGCCTCGGAACCCCGCTGCTTGGAGAGCTGCTTGGAGAGAGGGAGGCTCCTCTGTGCCAGCCACCGCCCCGAGACTACTATTCAAGCTCCCCGCCCCCCGCCGCGGTTAAAGTTTGCTCCTCACTCGCTACTCCCACCCCGCCCCCATCTCCGCCCCCGGGCGGGAGGACCACATAGGAGTTCCTGGGTCCACTGTGCACAAACACACCCACCCACAAAAGAAAGCCCATTAAATCTTCCCTCCTGTGAACTCGCGCCCCAGCGGATACTTCTTTGAACTGACCCCCGCCCCGCAGCCCCCGCGCCGTCTGGGCCGCGCCCGGCCCTCCCGGGCTCGCTCCCTCCCTCCCGGCTGCGCACTTTGCCGCGCGCTTGGTCTTTGATGTCTCTTTACATTATGGCAGAGCAGCCACACGCTCTTCCCGGGCGCGGGGCTTTGTGTAATGGAACTGACATTTGGCCTTGATACCTGTATCTCTTGGTGATTGCAACAAATTTCTAAAATAAATATTGTACTTTGATCTTCCCGCATTGCATTTTTAATAGACGCTCCGAACATTACTTCGTTAAGTTTTTCAGGAGCTCAGAGGACGAAGGAAGGGAGGCCAAACAGCGGTTCCGCAAAGTCTCTCTCCAAACTTCCGCCGGGCCGGGCGGGCTTTCACAATGGAGAGGAAGCCAGAATCAGCGACTGCGAACCCGCAGGAGAGGCCTACTATGTGTTCCTTGTAAGGTCCTTGCCTATCTTAACTTTTAAGCCTACACTGTACGAGGGGGGCACTATTTTTCCAAATGGGGAAACCGAGGCACAAAGAGACTGAGGCACTCGGTTGCCAAGGTCACCAACTAGAAAATGGCAAAGCAGGAAAAATCCACCCAGCCATTACTCTCTTTGGCCTCCTGGCCACCGATAGTGGTTTAACTGGCGAATGGGCACGTCCTGGAGAAAAAGTTAACTCTTTTTACAGAGACGTGAAATGGCTTTTCTTGCCTTGTGGTAAAACACTTATCAGATTCAGCAAAGAAGATGCGCGCTTAGCCAAGCCCGGCCCGCCTCCCAGGGAAAGGGGGTCAGAAGAGCTCAATGGAGAGGGAGAGGATATAAACCGTAAGGAACCAGGTCGGCCTCGAGGTCAGCGGCGGACATCCGCGCAAGGGGCTCTTGACCTCTTAACCGCCGGTTAAGAGCTCCCCTGGGTCTCAAGCTTCTCTGGTACTCGACCCTGGCCGAGGGAGTGGCAAAAGCAGCAGGTCTGCCAGGCCTTGCATCAAACCGCTAAGCCTGCTCACCTTCCCCCCTCCCAGAACACCCCAACCTAGTCTTCAGAAGGAGCCAGACGGGGTCGGCCCAGTGGCACGCGCGGCCACAGCTCACCATTTCAGAAGGGACACATTGCTGAGAAGGGGGGAGCGTGCGAGTGAGGGACGTGCGAGGGACTCAACGTTTGGGCCACGTGCTGCCCATTTGTCTTCAGTAAGATGCTCCCAGTTCGCAGGCGTGACCTGGGCGCGCGTGGGAGAAGGTGGGCCTGGTGGCTTGGTGTCCCGACGCCTGAAGGAGGCTCGGAGGGCACCATTATGCAGGCCGGACTCCAAATCCGATGGAGTTAGACTAACTGTTGACACTGCATCCTGGGGTGGACCACCGGGTCGGTCCTCTCCCATCAGTCCCGGTCGCGGTGTGGTCTCCAGGAGGACAACGCGCACAAAGGCCAGGCGCTAGCTGGTTTCTCGGAAGAGGAAACCGTGTCCGCCAAGAGTCTGGACGACGGGCCGGGTAGGCCAAGCTCCGCGGCCCAATTGGCTGCGCGGTCACGTGGGCCGCTGCAGCCAGGCCTGGTAGGCGGTTCCGCGCCCCGAGTGCCCAGGCGCAGAGAGAACCCTGCGGCGTCCCGCCCGCCTCTCCCTCCCTCCCCGCCCCGCCCTGCGGGTGAGGGGGATCGGGTGTCCCAAGCGCCGCAGCAGGACGCGCCCTGCGTCCCGAGTTGAAAGGAGGCAGGCGGCCGGTGTCCCTCCTCCGCCAGAGGTGGGCAGTCAGGAAGGTTGGGGCGCGCTTCCCCACCCTGGGCGAAAAACGCCCGCGCGCGGGGTGAAGGGCCTTTTCTTTCCAAAGGACCTGGGGAAAAGTGTGTATTTTTTTCTGTCCCCTTTGGGGGCCTCCCGCGTATGATTTGAGGTTTGTTGAACCGCAGCAACAATAAAAGCTTCCTCCTTTCCTTTTAAAGTAGTAACCCGCTTCTGAGAGCGTGCGCACGCTCGCCGGGGCTTAGGGGAGAAACCAGGGCTTCGCGGGGCCTTCGGGGGGCCTCACAGCGGTCCCCCGCCCGCCCCCTCCTCAGCGGCCAGGGTTGCCCGCCTGGGGCGGAAAGGGCGGATGGCATACTCAGGGTTGCTCTGGGTGTCCCGGCCAGCTCAGCTTTAGGGGTCAAAGCTGAGCTTGCCGTGGAGTAGAGCGTTTTTCCCAGGTCCACTCTGCAAAAGTTATAGCCTGAGGAAAACTTCCAGGTCTCCAGCAGGCACGTCACAAGAGCAGGAACTGCGCGCCACCCACCGCCTCCCTGGGCGGCCGTCCCGCCCTGCCCGGGGTCACAGCCGTGCCCTCCGCTCCACAGAGGTGGGCGGGGGGACACACAACCAGCGGGGTGCGGACGGCCCCACGCCTAGCCACGGGAACTCCCTCGGGTCCAGGTGCGCGCAGACAGGCGTTTGTTAGAGTGCGGGATGTGTAAATACTGCGGAGAGTTACCCTCATCTCCTACTCAAAGTCCCGCGCCTGGAAGGGGAAAGCAGATTTTTCTAAAGATAACAAAGACACTTTGTCACTTTGGACACTGCCTCAGTGCAAATCTTTAATTGCAAGTGTGTGTGTGTGTGAGTGTGTGTGTGCAGGAGGATCGAGTGTCTCTAGCAACCCAAGCGCGGGTCTCCAGGCGGCAAGGCCCCCTTTGATCAGGAAAATCCAATTATTTGTGTATATACATTTCCCACATAGTGATTACTTCATTAATTGTCCCGCCTTTATCTCCTCCCTTCCCATCCCCCCTAATAATCAGTTCTTTTATCCAGACCAACAAACACACCATAGGAGCTTTGTGGATTCAAAGGATTTGCTTTCGCTTCTGAAAGAGCCGCTATTCTTTGATGATTGGGTAGCGGCAAACTTCAAAGCCATAAATCTTCCCTCTGACTGGCTGGCGGCCCAGCAAAGTCCTTATCAAATTCTTGGAGGTGATCCCGAAGCGCTCAGACCACGCGCGGGGCGAGCGAGCGGGGCGCGGCGAGGGGCGCGGGCGGGGAGGGCCCGGCGCGCGGAGCGGGCGCGGGAGGCGCGCTGGGCGGCTGCTCGTCCTCGCCTTCGGGCGTCCATGCCTCGGCGGCGGCGCCCCGCTCCGCAGCGAGCAGCCTGCGAGCTGTAGCCATGGCCGCTGTGGCGGTCCTCCGGAACGACTCGCTGCAGGCCTTCCTCCAGGTCAGGGCCGGGCCCGGAGGGGCCGGGGAAAGGTGGGAAGTGCAGTGTCCTGGTACTCTGTGCACCTTGAATCTCAAAGGGAACCCCGCCAGTGGGTGCAGCTGAAGTCAGACCTAGGGGTGCCCACCCCAACTTCACACCTAATCTGGTGTCAAGAGTGTGGCCTCGGGGGAGGGACGCATGAATCCGGGGGTTGGGAGGTGCGCGCTTCGGGAAGAACAGGGCCGGAGCTCGTCTTGCTGGGCCCTCCTGGTGATTTCAGGCTGGGGCGGGCCAGGGAGGAGTAGTACGGTAACGCGTACAGGAGAGCTTAAAAGATGAGAGGGAGGATGAATGGGCCACTAGGTTGTGGGTGTTTCCAGACTCTTAACTGACCGCGGAGCTGGGAGCGGCCCGTCGGATCCCTCCTCCTCCCACTTAGCGCCCGCTTCCTCTAAAGCTGGATGGCGTCTCAGTGCACCAAGTAGTTTAGCAAGAAGCGCTCGCGTGCCCCCAAGTTCAGGTCGCGCAGACACCAAAAGTTTTCCAGGACCGGTGGGTGCGCGCGTGTGGTGCGGAGGTGGGAGAGGGTCGGCCGGGACGCGGGAGGGGCAGCAGTATAATAGC